ATGGGGAGTCGAAGGAAGACTCCTCTGAGGAAGTGATTATGAGGCTGATGGCTGAATTGGGAGTTAACTCAGCAAAGGGAGGAGGAGAGCTTTTTTAGGTTTGGTTAACAGCAGGTGCCAAGCTTCCGAGACAGGAGGTAGGGTCCCTCTTGAAGAAAATAAATGGTTAGAGTTAACGGGAAAAGATGAGGCCGGAGAGGCAGAGCTGAGACCTTTGAGCACCTGGTTGGCATGTTGAGGGCTTGATTCTTCTCTTTAAGAGCAAGTGGGGAGATACTGGCCTGTATTAGTCCACAGGGGAAAGGACGCGGTCACCAAAGCATTTTGGAAAGGTCACTCTGGCTGTTGAAAGGAGTGGATTTAGGTAGGAAGCTGGTGCAGTAACGCAGACGTGAAAGTGTAGAAGTTCGGAGAAGGGTGCCGGCAGCTTGTGATAGGAGTAAGTGGAAGATTAGAGAGGACTGTTTAGAGGGTAAAGTCTCCAGAGTTTGGGGACTGATCAGGGGGCCGAGGGAAAGAGGGATCAAGGAAGACTGTCAGGTTTCTGGTTCCTGCTAGCTGGAGAGTTGCTAGGCCATTCATTCACTGGCCTAAGGGAGCTGGGAGAGGGCCAGATTTTAGGACACTCGTAAGTTCCTCTCTTTTTTCGTAAGTCTCACCCTGACTAGAGGGGACTTTCATTACATACTTTTTCTATAGTGTTTGAATTTTTATGAGCGTGTACTTTTATAATCAGAACAGTGAGAGAACAAATTGAAAAAGCCTTGAAAAACTCCATGTCTCTCAAAATCACAATTGTGTGCTATAAAATTGTGTGTGTGTGTACGTACAGAGGGGGAGAGAGAGAGAGCACGCACGCTGAGGGAAGGAAATTCAGTGACGATTTCCTGTACGATTTGGAGCTGAAGCCAACAGGTCGTCAGCTCCACTCACCCCACCCCTTCACACCCATCACCCCAGTTACTGGTGTCTTTCTCTTAAAAAGACAAATCAGAGAGGGGCGCCTGGGTCGCTCAGTCAAGCATCTGACTTGGGCTGAGGTCATGATCTCGTGGTTTGTGAGTTCAAGCCCCACATCGGGCTGTCTGCTGTCAGCATGGAGTCTGCTTTGGATCCTCTGTCCCCCTCTCTCTCTGCCTGTACCCCACTCGTTCTCTCTCAAAAAAAAAAATATATATATATATATATATATATTATAAAAGACAAATCAGAATTTCAGATGGGACTATGCAAAGTGTATCCCAATTTTCTTAGAATTAAGCATCTGTTTTGCTTAATATGATCAGTGGCTCTTTCTTAGCTGAGCAACTCTAGTATGCACTTTATCCGACTCAGCAGTTCGTCTGTTAGATGGTGTCTGGTCCCTATTCCTCCTGCTCCTGGGCCTCGTCTGCCTTTCTCATCCCGGTCTGGTCTCCCTCTGACTCCAACCCAGTCTTAGGTTGGCAGGATTGCCCTCGGCAGGGATTGAGTGAGGCAGTTTTGTATGCTGTTTGGTATTTTAAAATGCTTCAACCGTAATACTGTGTTTTTAAGGCTGAATCAGAGTAGCCACATTTATAATGTTACTGTTACAAGGAGTAGCTGTGTGTGACTTAATACCGTATTGTTGTCAGCTGTGGAGGATTTTGCTTACTTGATCATGCCAAGGGTCTTTGAGAAAACTTATGAGATTGCTTTTAAACTCCCACCGTTTCTTCCAAGCATCTGTTATTAAGTTTGTATCTTATTGGCCATGCACATTCTGTAACTGATTGTGTTTTCCTTTTTGCTCTGGCTGCTGAGAAAATCAGGGCCAAATGAGACGGTTGGCAGTGCTGCAGGTCCGTGTGGTGTACCTTTCTGCGTACGTCTGGCTTCGTCTTATTGTCCTACCTTAGTTTTCTCTTCACAATTATTTTCTGATTAAAAATTCTGAGTACAAGTAATACTTTGAATATATGTAATCTTTAAAGAATGACAGTACAGTGAGTGCTGATTTAGGAAAAAAATGTAACCTTGGAGTTGCCAGTGTGTCCCAACCCGTATCCAGTTTCTTACTTTTCTCAGGTAACAACTGTTCTAATTTTATAATACCTTTGCTTTTGATATTTGTGTTCCATATCTATTGATGGCTTTTATTTATTTATTTATAAATTTTTTTTATATCAGACAAAATAGAGTTTATTTTTATTTTTTTTCAATATGTGAAGTTTATTGTCAAATTGGTTTCCATACAACACCCAGTGCTCATCCCAAAAGGTGCCCTCCTCAATACCCATCTTTAAATTTTTTTTTTAATGTTTATTTTATTTTTGAGACAGAGAGAGAACATGAATGGGGGAGGGCAGAGAGAGAGGGAGACACAGAATCGGAAGCAGGCTCCAGGCTCTGAGCCATCAGCCTAGAGCCCGACGCGGGGCTCGAACTCACGGACCGTGAGATCGTGACCTGAGCTGAAGTCGGACGCTTAACTGACTGAGCCACCCAGGCGCCCCTATTGATGGCTTTTAAACTAGAAATTGAAGCTTATGTAAAGAGAAACACACGAAATACTCTGCTGCTTGCTGTTTTCATTCATCATTGTGTTCTGAGATTCATTTAGGTTGTTATGTGTAGCTAACATTAATTAGCTAAGCATTAATTTATTGCTTCATGAGATTCCACTGCATGAATAGGCCTGGAAGAATTTATCTAGTCTTCTGTTGCTGGGCATTTGGAGTGTCATCAGTTCGTGCTATTTCTAACGGTCCTGCTGCAGACATTCTTGTTATTTACGTGCAGATATTTCTCTAGATCAGGGTTTCTCATCCTTAGCACTATTGACCTCTTGGTCCAAATGTGGGGGGCTGGCCTGTTTACTTGGCAGCATCCCTGGCTTCTGTTTGGTGGACACTCATAACACCCCTCCTTCCCAAGTTAGGACAACCAACCATTGTCTCCAGATGCTCCAGTTGCTCCAGTTAGGAACCAGTGCCCAAGATCAGTGGTTGGCAGACTTTTTCTGCAAGGGGTCAGATAGTAAGTATTTCAGTCTTGTGGGCCCAGTGGTCTTTGGTCTCAACTAATCATCTATGCCTCTGTAGGACAAAAGCAGCCATAGGTAACCTGTAAATAAATGGGTATGGCTGTGTCCCAATAAAATTTCACTTACGGAAACAGGCAGGCCGACTAGATTTGGCCTGAGGGCATTATGCGCTCTCTTGCTGTAATCTAGATCAGTAGGGAATATATTTTATATCCTCACCCAGTGCGTGTAACTCATATGTATAATTGAAACAAAAGTTTCATGAAATAGTTCTTGCCCTTACTGTATGTGATACAGTTCGGTGTTTTCTGTTTTTGTTCCACTTTTTAAAATGTCTGGTATATCCACTAAATTTATTTCAAAGCCTCATCAATGAGTTGTGACTAACAGTTTGAGAAATCTAGTTTGCTCAGTCATAGAGATATGCACATCTTTCACTGGACCAGATAGTATCTATACTTATGTACAGCATTTCAGATCCCTTTTAGAAGGAGGCAGGGTATAAATAAATACCACACTGTGTATATGTTTTTATTTCTAAAATATAGATTAGGTCAGTCACTCCTGGTTAAAACCCACAATAGCTGGTGTGGCATTGGTGTGGCCTGGCGTGACGTGTGAAGTGTTTTCTAGTCTGCCTCCAGTCTGCTTTTCTAAGCTTCTCTTTTATTACTCTGTGCTTCCTGGGCTCTAATCACTTGGAATCTCTATTCCGAAATGTATCACGCCTCTCTCCTTCCAAGTGTATTTCCTCCAAGTGAACGCTCCTCTTTTTCTTTGCCTTGTGAATTCTTTACCCTGCAGGGCCCATTTTGAATGTTGTTCCATGCATTCATTTAACCTACTTGTGAGCACTTGCTGTGCCTCGGGTTCTGCCCCAGGTGGTGGTGGGGATTCAGCAAGGAATTGGGCAGGGTACCTGGGGTCTTGTGTGTGGTGACAGATACTAAAAAGGTAAACAAGATAATTTAAAAAGTGAGAAGGGCTGAAGAAAACAAAATAGGGTGGAATGACAGTTGGTGTGGATGGGAAGGTAGGGAGAATCTGAGAAGTTGCTGTTTTAGCTGAGATTTGAATGGTGACACAGAGGCAGCTCAGCGCTTCAGAAACTTTCTGCTTCCTTCCGGCTTCCACAGTTTCCCAAGGAATCCACAGATGATTGCATTGTTCCCCTCCAGACAGTATATCATTTATCTGGTTGCTTGCAAGATTTCTACTTTGTGTTTCCGTTTTTAAGTTTGACTGTGATGGGTCTGGGCATAGATTTCTTTGTGTTTATCACGCTTGGGGTTCTCTGAACTTCTGAATCTTGAGTTTACATCTGTGAGGGTTTGCTTTCGGATTCTCTATTGTATTCCATTGGTGTATTTGTCTGTCTTTATGCTGGTACCACACTTAAAAAAAAAATTACTTTGGCTTTGTAATATGTTTTGAAATCAGGAAGTCTGAGTCTTCCAACTTTGTTCTTTCACAAAATTGTTTTGGCTGTTTGGGGTGCCTTGAGATCACTTGTGCATTTTAGGATGAATTTTTCTATTTTTGCAAAAAACGCCACTGGGATTTTGATAGGGATGCATTGTGTTTATACATTGCTTTGGGTAGTATGGACATCTTACCAGCCCAGTAAATAGATTTCTTTAATGAATGTGCACTGAACGTTGCTGTTAACACTGAACAACTCTGATGTAGTTCTAGGTTTATTCTCTTGAATATTCCCAACATCTAAGTGTGCTTTGCAGGTGTTCCTAGTGAATCAGGTCCTTCCCTCAAACCTGTTTTTAGACTCAGAAATGTCAGGACCACTTTCTCACTCTAATCTGAGAAGGAGAACTGCTGATCACTGTCATCTTGGGAGTTCCTGGGTCCAGGGTATAAGGACGAAAAGCTTTGACTTTCTATCCTTCTATACTTTCTATACCTTTCTATATTTGTATTTCGGCCAATTTTGTTTTGTTTTCGTGACTTCTTCACTTTTCCGTGCAGAGATGTGATAATGGATCATCATGTTTCCACCATCAAACCTCGAAGGATCCAGAACCAAAATGTCATTCACCGCCTGGAACGCCGACGGATCAGCTCGGGCAAGGCAGGCACCCACTGGCATCAGGTCCGAGTATTCCATCAGAATGTCTTCCCCAACTTCACGGTCGTCAATGTTGAAAAGCCTCCTTGTTTCTTGCGTAAATTCTCACCTGATGGACGCTACTTTATTGCTTTCTCTTCAGACCAGACGTCTCTCGAGATCTATGAGTACCAGGGCTGCCAGGCAGCCGAGGACCTACTGCAGGGCTATGAGGGGGAGATCCTGTCCAACGGCAATGACCAGCGGTCGGTCAGCATCCGCGGCCGGCTCTTTGAACGCTTCTTCGTCCTGCTGCACATCACCAACGTGGCCGCCAACGGTGAGCACCTGAACCGGGAGTGCAGCCTCTTCACTGACGACTGTCGCTGTGTCATCGTGGGCTCAGCTGCCTACCTCCCGGATGAGCCGCATCCTCCTTTTTACGAGGTGTATCGCAACAGTGAGTCCGTGACCCCCAACCCCCGGTCCCCTCTGGAGGACTATTCCCTCCACATCATTGACCTTCACACTGGCCGCCTATGTGATACGCGCACCTTCAAGTGTGATAAAGTGGTCCTGTCGCACAACCAAGGGCTGTACCTGTACAAAAACATCCTGGCCATCTTGTCAGTGCAGCAGCAGACCATCCACGTCTTCCAGGTGACCCCTGAAGGCACTTTCATTGACGTGAGGACCATCGGCCGCTTCTGCTACGAGGATGACCTCCTCACCGTGTCAGCTGTCTTCCCTGAGGTGCAGCGGGACAGTCAGACGGGCATGGCCAGTCCTTTCCGAGATCCCTTCATCAACTCCCTCAAACACCGGCTGCTGGTGTACTTGTGGCGCCGGGCGGAGCAGGACGGGAGTGCGATGGCCAAGAGGCGCTTCTTCCAGTACTTTGACCAGCTGCGGCAGCTGCGCATGTGGAAAATGCAGCTTCTGGACGAAAACCATCTGTTTATCAAGTACACTAGTGAGGACGTGGTCACCCTGCGGGTCACGGATCCATCACAGGTATGCGGTGCTCTCCTGCTCTTTGCTCCTCCCGTCCCCTTGGGAAGATGGGAACATTTCTGTCTTTGCCTATAGCCAGCCTCTCCGAAATTCGCTTTTCATGTAGTCTTGAATTTTTGTTTTCCTAGGCCTCAAACTCAAAACAACTCCATTTTTCTCTGGCCACGTGTATTCATTTGGACAAATGGAAGCTAAATCTCAAGCCATTGGCATGTGGATAGTCAACTCTGTGATTATTACCCTGATTCTTGTGCAGAGCATTTTCAGTACCCCTGAGATAGAAGCCCAAATGCTACAGGGTCGAAGTTTGGACTGCCTGTGGATAATCCTGCCTTAATTTTGTGAGGCTGTGATTAGTGGTCTGACTGCTTTAGTTCTAGGAATGAGAATGAGCCCGCCATACCAGAAACATTTTCTAAAAATTTAGCCTCTTTCCTGCCCAGATGGTTAATGTCAATATACTTCTTCATAAAGCCTTTAGAAGGTAACTAATAGGTAAGCTCATCTGGCAGTTAAGTTTTATGACTTTACTCTGACCTTGCCCATGCATAGATTGTAGGGCAGTGAAAAGATTAAAAGGAAGCCAGAGTTTCTTATCCCCCAAGTGAATCATCAGGACTTCAAGTATTAGGGTTTTTCACTTTGGATAAAAGATCTCTTTAGGGGAGATAGCTATTTCTCAGATGGGAATAAAATGGTGTTAAGGGCACAGAAACCTGTAAGACTCTTGGGTTGAAACACCATGTTGAAATTCAGGGTATTTTGGGCATTTCTCTTTGAGAGGCTCTCCACTTTAGTGTTGATCAAGTAAGATACCTACTTTTCTATACCTTTGCCCCCCTGTTCTATTTCCAGAATCTGTCCTTAGATTCCTATCTAAGGAGAATTGAGAATAGAGAGCAAACCAGTAAACCACAAAGGGGGCTGAGTCTGGTATCTCCCACTGACTTGCAGTTGCTTCTATCAAAGGAGAGACTGTACAGGGCATTGTTTCCTGAGACCTTACCAGGCATCCATGGTAAAATGTTTTCCAGTATTTTTCTTCTGAATCATAGCCTGTGTATTCTTCAAGGTGGCGGGGAGGGGGAGCGGTGAGTAATAACGGTTGGATGTTACTTTTTCTGGATTCTTCTTCTTCCCTATTAATGACGAAGTCACCCGTTGAGCCATCACGAAGGAGCATCTAGTGTATCTTATGTGTCATGGGGGGTTGGCAGTGAAGCCCTTGACTTCTGTACCCTTCTGTCTTGTATTTCCCAGTCTGCCCTGGAGGCAAGCCTAGTAAAGGTTTGTGTAATTTTATATTCATATAATTGTGATGGATCCTGGTGAAGTCCTGAAATGATCCAAATGTTGTCCACGTATATAGAAAGGACATGACTCAATCTTTTATTTAGGTTTGAGCTATAATTACCTTTTTTCTTTTGGAAGGACTAAGTCATCTGTGGTAGCTGCATTTGAGATTGTCCTTCTTCCCTTTGCTAAAAAACATGACCTACTTATTTCCGGTAGCTGTAATAAATTGTAGCTAGAATCAGTACTGGAGCTCGGTGTTTTGCTGACAGAGGTTGTAACTTTAAACCCAATTTGCCCTAGTTGTCCTCCCACCTCCTTCCCCAGTTTAATTTGATAGGTTTCAATAAAGTTAATGAGTAAAAGGCACATGTACACACAAAGCCGTGCTAATATTATGGGTATTATTCTCAGGTTACCCTCCAACCTCTTTAATTTACAGCCGTATTTAATTTCCAGGTGACCGAAAAAGTCATGTAATGAAAGCTCTGGAAGGGCTAATGACTAGTAAAACAGGTGGGCCACGTGGCTCCAGGAATTGGTGATGGAGACTTAAAGTCAGTCATAGGAGGGGGAGTACTAATCCTAATGTTCTGAAAACTTCTAGAGTCCTGTTGGAAGCCTGCAGATTGATTCACACTGCCACATTCATTGTGACAAAACGCAGGGATTCCTGGAGCTTCCTTGTTAGGCAGAGCAGAGAGCACTGGTTGTTTAAACGAAGAGGGCCTGTCCCCCAGAGGCCCATTCAGAGAAAGCAGTAACCCTGCCACCTGTGGCATTTGAATGCTTTTCAGATGTCCCCTCTGATCTTAATTGCTACAGATCTCAAATGTGTTTTACAAATGCTCTTGGCTGAAAGAACACTTGTGAAGGAAGAAATGGAAAACGCGACTCTGATTTTCCATTTGTTCAGTGGCAGTTCCCTGCTTGGTGACAACTTGCCTGGGCAGTTTTAGGACACAGTGTACTTAAGGTGTCTCTCTGCATGTTAGAAATCTTAAGAGGGAAAATAAATGCCCCTGAATTGAACTTTCAACTGTACGTATACAAGAGAAAATAATTTGCCAACAGGCAGCTACAGGCTACCAATTACTTTCTCAGCAGGAGGGAGAATTAAATCTGGCATTTTAAAAAAGTGCTTTTTATTTCAGGGTGGGTTGGAGAGCAAGTCAGGAATAATTACTAGGAAGGAAAAATGTTGAATTTGCAGTCTTAAATGAAAGATTGAAAACCTTTCTACACACATACGTGGGCCAGCTCCGTAATTCTAGCAGCAGATCCAGTGGTAAATCCGGCGACACTGGCCATGACTGATGGCCCTGGACTGATCAAGTCCACCGAGGCCTCCTCCTTTCCCAGAACCACGTGCAGCCACGTTGTTGTGCTAGTGCAGGAGTGGAAGGGTTCGCTTGTTTTCCTTGGGTAGTTTGAATTTTCAGCCAAGTGAAAAGTTTCCAAGGCATGGCCTCATACCCGCTGTCTCAAAGCTGTCTCTGTTCTTCTGCAGGCATCTTTCTTTGTGGTGTACAATATGGTGACAACAGAGGTGATTGCTGTGTTTGAGAATACATCCGATGAGCTTTTAGAGCTCTTTGAGAACTTCTGTGACCTCTTCCGTAACGCCACCCTGCACAGTGAAGTCCAGTTTCCCTGCTCAGCTTCTAGCAACAATTTTGCAAGGCAGATCCAGCGCCGGTAAGCTCTTTCAGGCTTAACAGGCTTAATCTCTCTAGACAATTCACTGGTGTTAGGCCAGTAGTTACTTCCTCCAAAAAACTCTTCCTGTATTCTCTCCGCCCACCTTGGTTTGGTTAGGTCTGCCTGTGGTAAACCCTTGGGTCATCCTGACCTTTTCCTTTCTGTCTCCCAGCACCTGTGGAATTACTAGTACGCTGTCCGTGATTCCTCCCAGACTGTATGTGAGCTACGGAAAGATAGAGACTGTGTCTTTACTATTTATTGCTGTGTTCTCATGAATACGTTTATTATATGTATTGCATTTAAGTATTTGTGGAGTGATATGACTTAAGGAAATAATTTTAGAACTTCTGGTTAAACAGGATGCGATGTGTTGAACACCTGCATTTATCTCTGCTTCATCCCCAAATCCTATTAAAGTGACAAAAAGAAGTAAAAGGTGTAACTAACAAAAACAAAGAGAATGGGAAAGGAGAGACATGAGAGGCAGGAGATGATTGGCGGCGGGATAGGAATCAGTTTTGGGAGCTGAGAAGCTAACTGATGAGTGGTAACTGACTTGACACACTTCAGAGAACAGAAACAAGACTGCAGAGCTTAGCCATCAAGAAACAAGTTGCCTTGCACCAGAGAACTCTGGAAAGGGTCAGAGAATTGGAGGCCCTAGGTACCTCTGAAGATACCTGTAATGTGGGCTTAAACTCAGAGGATTGGGTGAAGTTCTTGCAAGGAGCAATCAGAGGGCCCCTGGTGGCTCAGTCGGGTAAGCGTCCTACTCTTGGTTTAGGCTCAGGTCATGATCTCACAGTGCATGAGATTGAGCCCCACGTTGGGCTCTGTGCTGACAGTGTGGAGCCTGCTTGGGATTCTCTTTCCTTGTTTCTCTGCCCCTCACCTGCTTGTGTGTGCTCTTTCTCCCTCAAAATAAATAAGTAAACTTAAAAAAAAAAAAAAAAAAAAAAAGCAATCAGGCCCTTTAGCCCCTTTCTCTAAGCCTACTTAGCCAATTGACTGTGTCTTCTCCACCTCCGCAGAAGGCTGGAGGTTCAGTCTTCTGAGAAACTGAACCATGTAGGCCCTGGTTTCATGTTCGTGAGGCATAGCTGAGAGTAGGGATGAGATTGTCATGCTAAAAACAAGAATTGAATGAAAGCCAACAAACTGAAAGGTAAGATATGACAGCCAGGTTTATACTCCTTATGCAGGAGATTAGAGATTTTTCCCTAGGAAAACTGACCAACCCAAAGAAGAGACCTTCAGATACTGACACTTACAAACACCTAGGTCACCCTAACCCCCCCCCCCCCCATCATCAGACAGGGTTTTCTCTGAACCAGAGCTTCTGATACAATTATCTGAGTACAACATTATTGTGAAATGAATGGTTACTCTGGGCCAAGGGCCCAAGCTGAATCCTACTCTAGTCAGTGCCTCATTGGATGCCACTTTAAATTGCTCCCCCAACCTTGGCCAGTTAGGGAAAAGATCTGCTTTAGGTTTCAAGATAGATCACACTGGAGTGAACAGAAGAATCAGAATAAGCATTACTGCCACTAGGAAAAATGAGCAGAGTAGGTACATTAATGCAGTGGCATCATCTTTATATAAAAGGTTAGTAATCAACTAGAAATGGGTATTGGTTTTCAGACAGCTAACTTGCCTTTTCCTTTTTCTCTGGTTCACACAAATTTTCTGCCTTCTAAGCATTTCTGTTCAGTTATGGAAGGATATTTGGAGACAGAATGTGGCTCAGATTGTGGTTTTTTCTTTTTGGAACAAATTTCCTCCTTTTAAAATTAACTTTAAAATTAGGCAGATCATTATCAACTAATTACAAAGCTGGGTACACCTGGCTGAGTGAAAACATCAAAAGAAGTCACTAGAAAGAAGGTAAACTCCCATGAGGGCAGGGATTTTTGTCTGTTTCATTCACTGCCATATCCATAGCACCTAGGCCAGTGTCTTTCATGTGGGAGAAGCTTATTAGGTATTTGTTGAGTGAATGAAGTCACCCAGTAATTAGAGGAAGCTATGTTTTGTTTTGTTTTTTTAATTATTTCAGAATGCATCTGGAATTAAGTGAAATTTTAAGAAGTCCCAGGAGAAATAAAGTTTGAAGAGAAAGGTGGTGTTCTAGCTTTGTGATTCTCAAAATGTTGGATCATACCACCAAAAGATGTTGAAGAACTGTAGATGTCCTTACATATTAATTTTTAAGTTGATCTTAACATTTTTTTGCTATTAAATTTGAATAATTGCAGAAGATGCAATTTTCAGTGTATATTAAATATTCGTTTTTAAAAATATTATAAGCTTTTTTCCCCCAGCTTTATTGAGATACAATTAGCATATAACATCATATACGTTTATGGTGTATAACGTAACACTTTTGAACATAGCCAGGGAAACCTAGTTGCAAAAGTAATTTGGTGTTAGTATTTGATATAAAAAGTAGAGAGCAAATTATTCCCATACTGTTTGAAATTTCACATTGTTTCTTCTTGTCTTCGAATTCGTATTTGTATCCTAATATAACATTTTATATGAATTGTATCCTAATATATCCTAATATATATTCCTAATAGATCCTAATATATTTTGTTAGCCATCTTATCATGCTTTGCTGCATTGAAAGCACAATGTGTATATAAATTGGAATCATTTTTCATTTCGTGTGAACACATGACTCTAAATGCTCAATTTTACAGTCTCCAGTAATCTTTTGGTGAAAAATAAGTGAAAGTGGATCCATTATAGGTTAGAGCAAATGTTCAAGAAAAAAAGGAGGTGGGGCGCCTGGGTGGCTCAGTAGGTTAAGCGCTGGACTTCGGCTCAGGTCATGATCTCACAGGTCGTGAGTTTGAGCCCCATGTCGGGCTCTGTGCTGACAGCTCAGAGCCTGGAGTCTGCTTCGGATTCTGCGTCTCCTTTTCTTGCTGTGCCCCTCTCTCATTTATGCTCTGTCTCTCTTTCTCTCAATAAATAAAAAAACATTAAAAAAAAAAAGAAAAAAAGGAGGGGAACACTGAGGATCATGAGTTACTTAAGGAAAATCTTTAGACCAAAATAAAACAGTAAAGAATAAAGGAGCAGTATTGCAGTCACTGAAATCATTGAAGCTATAAAAAAGGAGACATTCCTAAAACAGAAATTTAAACTTTGTTAGGTATAGTTGAGAGAGGAGAATAAACAGATAAAAGTAGGAAAATGGGAGAAAAACGATGAAAAGGAATTACAGAATTTGCCCAGGAGGCCCAACATCTGGTTATTTGCAGAGGGTGGGTGGAGAAAATGAAGAGAGGAAATAGTGTAAGACAGTTTCCCAACTTCCAGGTTGGCAGGACCTTTCAGTGATGTGCTGGGGCTGGCTTGTACTGGCTCACGAGGGCCAGTTGTTAAACATGGCAGGGATTTTTTGCAAGCTATTGCTAAACGTGGTGATTATTAAAAATTAGTTATTTCCTAACTATTTTACTATTATTTATGGTCTTGAGTGTATTTGTGTCTATCTCCTCTGTGTGGTGAAAATACTGTATATTTTCTCTCTCTCTCTCTCTCTCTCTCTCTCTCTCTATATATATATATATATATATGTATACTCTCTACTGAAAATCTGCTGCTGCTCATCTTTCGACAATGCCACATTCAGTGATGTCACGTTGGTACCTTGAAACTGACCACAGCAGTAGGATTTACAGCACAGAAATTGGCAAGCGCTGCAAATCATGGCTTCTTTCCCCAGATAAATACTTCTTAAGTCTTTATTAGTGTATCACCAGCTCCATTAAGTACCCAATGGAAAAAAGACCTGTATGGAGGCATACCATCATGAAAATTTGGAACATTGAGGCCAAAGAGAAAATTACAAAAACTTTCAGAAAGAACATACATTTCACATGTTAAAAAATAAGTTAGCAGACTGGTATTGCGTTTATCAATAATAACACCGAAAGCTTGAAGCCATTAAAATCATGCCTTCAGAAGTCTGTGGAAAAAAATGATACCGAGTCTAGAATTTTCTATCCAGTAGGGTGGAACAAAGATTTTTTCAGACATGTAAGTTCTTGAAAAATTACTTCTCATGTACCTTTTCTAAGGAAGCCTCTGGAAGATGTGTTTTCCACATAAAACACAAAAGTATGGTACAGGAAATAGTCTGAAGCCAGAGAGAAGCAAAGAGCACTCTGAAGATGATGGTAAAAGGGAAGTTCTGGGGTGGCAGAACACCAGGTGGGCCAGCTGGAGGAGGCAGGAGGGTGGAGGTTTCCAAGAGGCAAGTGTCCAGTGCAAGATGGTAATTGTTAGGAGGTCTGGTGGGTTTGAGTGGATCAAGAAGAGATTGTTAGCTCTGTTCCAGTAGACTTGTCATTGTGGGCCTCACGAGGGTGATAGCTGAGCAGAGCTTTTGAAGGAGGTCAGGGAGCAGGCCATGTGGATACTGGGGGGCACATTATCCCCCAAAAAGGTAGTGTAGTTCTGAAGGTCCTGAGGTGGGTCTCATGCATTTGAGGAACACCGGGGAGGCCAGAGTGCCTGGGCTGGGGTGAGAAGAAGCCCAGTAGTTGGAGACGTGGTCAGAGGTGGGGCCAGACACCTGAGGCTGTTCTGAGGCTTTGGCTGTAACTGCAGATGAGATTGTGTAGCATTTGAGCAGAGGAGTGACACATTCTCACTTGTTATTTTACCAGGGTCACTCTGGCTGCTGTGTTGGAATAGACTGTAGGAGGGTGGGGTAGAAGCAGGGACACCAGTTAGGAGACTGGTGCAAGGATTCGCTAAATATGTTTCCTGCCACAGGGAATATATATTTATATATTTACGCACCTAGAAGCATGCCTGGCGTATACTAGGCTGTTGGTAATTATCTGTTGATTGAATAACATTGGCTTGGATTAGGGTGGGAACAGTCAACCCTTGAACAACATGGGTTTGAACTGCATGGGTCCACTTACATGTGGACTGTTTACAGTAAATACAGAACTGTAAATGTATTTTCCTCATGATTTATTTTCTTTTTTTTTTTAATTTTTTTTTCAACGTTTATTTATTTTTGGGACAGAGAGAGACAGAGCATGAACGGGGGAGGAGCAGAGAGAGAGGGAGACACAGAATCGGAAACAGGCTCCAGGCTCTGAGCCATCAGCCCAGAGCCTGATGCGGGGCTCGAACTCCCGGACCGCGAGATCGTGACCTGGCTGAAGTCGGACGCTTAACCGACTGCGCCACCCAGGCGCCCCATGATTTATTTTCTTAATAACATTTTCTTTTCTCTAGCTTATTTTATTGTAAGAATACAGTTTATAACACGTGTAACATACAAAATATGTGTTAATCTCCTGTTTGTTTTCTGCTGGTAAGGCTTCTAGTCAGCGGTAGGCTATTAAGTTTTTGAGGAGTCAAAGTTGCATGCAGAGTTCTGACTGTGGGAGAGGTTGGTACTCCTGACCCTGTGATGTTCATGGGTCAGCTGTAATTGTGTGCTCAACGTATTTTGAAAATAGAACCCTAAAGATTAGTGGAGGATGGGGTTTGGGCCGTGGAAAGAGCAAAGTCAAAGACGATTGTTAACGTTTTTGTCTTGCAAAAGAGAGTTACTCTCCAACCGTGATGGTGAAGCTGTGGGTGAGGTTCAGGGGAGAAGGTTGGAGGTTCTGTAAGTGGAGAGGTCTGGTAGTTTCTCAGGAAGAAGTGTCAGATGCTTCTGCCAGGGCAGGTCTGTATCTCCTGAGAGATCAATCAGCTCCTGGAGTTAGCAGCATGGAGGTCATCGGTGAGCTCCATGAGAGTGGCTTCAGTGGGATGGTGGGGAAAGCCTCTCTGGGGTGGGTTTAAGGAAGAGTGGGAAGAGAAGGCTTGGAGACAGCACCATAAGAAGTGTTCTGAGAGTTTTGTTGTCAGGGCTGGAAGACGGTGCCTGCACTGGAGGGGGCGAGTGGTGGTGCTTTTATTATTTTGTGACTGAGAGGGGGGGAAGTGGCGTGTTTGTGTGCAGATGAGACTGTGTAGCTGGGGGGAGCT